CCCCTGGATACCCCAAGCCACGCGGAAGGAAGCGGGACCAGAAATACCCTGGCCGCAGCCGTATGAGATCAGGTACATGATCAGAATACCCCATTCGATGGCCCATTGTTGGATGCCCACAATCCGGCCTCGGATGCGTGCAGGGGCCAGTTCAGCGAGATAGACACAGACTTGAGAAGACGTGATACCGACTGGAGACGGTTAGCACAGAGTACCCGTGGCAATGGGAGAGGTTGCTCACCAGCCAACCCACTGATGACCCGACCAACGACCAGATGTGCAACGTTTTGAGCAGAACATTGGATAGCTGCCCCGACAATCCAAATGCAACAAGCGATAACGAGAGAATAGCGACGACCAAGGCGATCCGAAAGGAAACCCGCTGCGAGTGCACCGGCGAAAGACCCAGCAGACATGGAAGCAGTAATCTAGCAGAAGGATCGTCAGCGTAACCTACAGGTGTTCGGCTTGTACACAGAAGACCTACACCTCCTTGCAAGTTGCTGTCTGGATGATTAAAATAGTCTAAATATTGGTCGGTGCCAATCCAGGCACTCATGGAACTATCCAACACGGTCAATGTGTGTCCTCATACATCGGAGCAGGAGAGCGGTCGTACCTGACATCGAAGCCGAACAATGCACCACCGATGGTGCCTAACGCGGCAAGGACTAGGCACAAGTCAGTTCCGTGGCACCTTATTGACAGCATCAAAGGAGACCATACTGTAGATGTTTGTAATGCGATACATGGTGAGCAACGAACCAGACCGGACTACCTGAAGTACAACCGGGATAGGGATGCGGAGAGCCGACTCGGGGGCCCCGGACGGGGCTTATATACCGATGCACGACCCAGTGCCGAAGTAACGTCCATCCCGGACTCGTGCAATTGGCCCGTACGTCATGGCGTCACTCGCGGGCGAGAAGACAGGGAAGAAGATAGCTTGCAAGTGTTGCATGTGTCCCGGATGGAGGGTGGTGCGAGACCTGCATGGGGGGATGGATGACTTCAAAGAGTAAAGATCATCGGCAGGGAATGCGGAGGTCCGGGGATTTCGGTTGGGGAACGAATCAGACCCGCCTGGGGGAGCGGTTTTTCCCCAGTCTCGGTGGAGGCCGTGTTTCCTGCCCAGTCCAGTCGGTTCATTTCTGCCTCGGAGATTTTCCTTCTTCGTGTTGAACCCGTCCTGATTTCCCTGATTCCCCTCATTTTAACCGACGGTCGGGTAGACCCTCTTCCTTGACTCCTGCCAGATAGTTACCTACTCCGCATGCCTGACGGAGGATAATTTTCATTCCACCATTCCACCTGTGGAAGAATATCTTTGGATGGTCATTGAGAACTACTCTCATGGTCTATCATACGGTTGTCGACTCCTCCCGAGCACTCAATCGTCTTGAACAACGCGAGTTGTCCATTTCGGCACGAGCCGGTCTATGGAGGCTTGTCTGACGCCCACCCGAAGCCTCTTCCGTTGCGCTATGCTCACCATCGCCTGGCGGCCTGGCTGGGCGTGGTCATCTATGTAGCGTCAATATGGCTGATTGGTGCCAAACAGAGACCCTCTGACGCCACCGTCAAGCCTCTCCATCATAGTCTCACCAAAACAATCAAAATCAATGGCAGCGAAACCCCGTTTCTTCACTCGTCTTTGATTAATTGTAGCCTTGTGACGCTTGGGCTGCCACCAAGACCGGCGAATACGACAGCCGAATTTCGGCGACAGGACGCGTTACCGAAAGTCTGAGCCGGCAACGGCTCGTTCAGCTGCGCTGCTCTTTCCACGTGAACACGGTCAAACCCCAGTCCGCGATGGTCACAGCCGGTTAATTGTGGTAGCCGAAGTGCGTGATGCTGCAGTCTCCGCGATTCACGACTTGTTGTCCGATGCAGGCGTTCTCGGCCAGCAGCATTGGAAAGTCTTCCGAATCGGGCTGATCTGACCCGTGCCACTCACGTATCAGCGTCCAGTTTTGCCTGGTCAGAGTGATCTAGGTCTTGCTGCAAGCGGTACACTGATATGTTCTTATTATCCGGCTGGGCAGGCCTGCCTCAGTGTGGTGTTCGGGCCCCTGAGAGATCCTCATTCGAGATGGTGCCAGGTCCCGGCTCGTAGCGACAGTCTGGACAGAGAGGACGCACAGCAAGAGGTAATCACAACCCCAAGATGTCAGATTGATTGCTGTCGCCCAACCGCTGGTCATTGCGTGTATCAGTCTGGTGAAGGGTCTCTTAGTAAGCTCTCTCCGGTCATGCGAAGAGTAATTGATGAATTCCACTGGGACTGACTCATACATTCCACCAATCTATGGTGGTCTCAGGCTCCTAAGCACCTATCCGATCGAGAGAAGGCCACCCCGATCGATTCTAGGAACATCTTCGTCTGATGTAGTCTAACCCGCGCACTCCATGGGACCACGCTTCTTCTCTGGGGCCTCCGTCGTCAACATATAATGTGCACTGTCGAGACGTGTCTTATTGCTCCCTCCTCACTAGCAACGTATCTTTTACTGCAATCTGATTCCGAAAATCGGTTGGTGACAGTGCAAAGAAGTACTGACATTCTCCATCTCGCACCGGTATTGTGATTCCAATGTACCCGGAGTGCGCTCGCCCATATCAGAAGGGTGTTCGATTGCATTCATATGAGGACAATACTCAAATCAATCGAGAGGATCTGAAGCGCTGAAACGGGGACCTGATCTGTTACAAACAGCGCGGTCAGCATTGTCACATGACAAAATATCCCACATAACTCACACTGAACCAGAAGCCGGAAAACCAACGTCGGTTGCGTCTATTGCTGTTGACAAGACTTAAGAGCGGCTGACATGTATGTACAGGTCTTCGTGGACTACTCGCAAATAAGACAAAGGAGTACAAATCAAGCGACCGGCCGACCGTACTTACACATGCCTCTGAATGTTGACCTGGCCGTTGAGACCTTAACAGACTTCGTGCACGAGTGTCAGAAAAAGCGCTCATTATCGATGGGACTACGCCGAAGACAAAAAGATATTTCCGGATCTGCACATTATTGTCCCAGAATGCTTAATGCATGGAAACAAAACCAATTTGAATGAATGGCCAAAATCAGGCCCGCAGGCTTGAGGAGCACCGACCTATCTGAGCATTTCTCCCGCACCCGACAACTTAGCTTGCCGAAGGATAGTAAAGCTCAACTGCTCTCACGCCGGTGTTGTGTAATGCTTGACGCCAATTGTGTCTCCTCGAGAGCACCGCTCAACATTTTAAGCGCGCCTGAGGTAGAGGCAGCGGTAGCCGATCGAGAGCTACGAAAATGAACGGTCAATTTCCCCCCGCCGGTCGTGTCTAGAATTGCTCGAACTTTGCTCTCTTTGTGCCGACCGGAGGGTTCCTCAGCACCTGGAAAGAGCGCCTGGTCTGGACCTTAGGCTGGTGGATGTAAGGAGATACTCAACTGCCATCCGGTATTCAGGAAAGCACGCTACGTTAGGCTTCATCGATCACGACCTTGGATGTTCTCCTTGTTGGAAAGTGCATTCATCGGTTGCGGGAGCATACATACGAACAAAGGTTTCTGACTATGTCTCGCTCGAGAGATGGAGTGTGTCCATTTTCTCCTTCACAGTGGCAATTTAGCGGTGAGGGGTCTGCTCACATCCAATCTACAGAGGTATGCTATATGCAGTCGAGGCCTAGCTGGACGACAAAGGCGTGCGCAGGCGATCGGTGACGCTTAATCCTTCGATTCTCTGTCCCCGCCCATTGGTAACCTAATGTGTGAACCATTCCTCAGCACAAACTCTGGACCCATGGATGAACTGGCGGGAAAAGCAACAATTAGACTCTGGCCTGGATCTGGGGAAATCCTGGGGAGCAGATGCTGGTGCCGGATTCGGGCGGCTGCCATGTCGTCGGTACCCCGGATTCGGAGGGGTTTTCAAAAATATCCTACAATTTGGAGGCCCTAGACCGCTGGGTTCTCTTCCGGATGTACATTAAACACTATCCGAGAGGTTTTCACGAGTTAAGTCGTGTATGCGACCGTGGGAAAGTCAACGCATCGGATTTGCTTCCCGGCCAGACTAAGGAGGCCGACCGTGCCGTTACCTCGACGATCGCTGGACCTCGATGAACGACAGCGCAGGGCCTCGGTCTAGCCAGTCCAGCAGCGCAGAGGGATAATTGACCTATTCGCCACGTGCAGGTTCATCAGACGCAAGGGGATGTACCATCCGGCTCAAGTGAGACGAGGACTCGATAATGAGCTTGCTTGATCTTATTGCCCTACCGCACGCTCGCTCGAGAATAGCTGGTGACAGGGGTTGTGTTTCACACGCATAACAATGCACCGGTCACAGGATAGGGGGGATAGAACAATCTCCGGCGATATCCGGGAATTGTTTATCTGTCCTGACGCCATTCCGGGGTAAAAGTGAGCGATGCTATCGCGCCAATCCGGCGCCGATCACCGGCACCAAATGCTGCAATTGGTCCAGTATGGATTTGATAGCTTAATCTCGCGGGTCCATTTGATTATAGTTCGCAGCACCAGTGCGTTAGACTCGCACCACCACGTCAGATTCACCCGCAGACCGGCTGAGCATTACGCTTGGCCGCCGATAAGCCCTGGAAGCCCCTCTCCTGGCCCGCGATGGCCCCCATTCTCTGTCCTATTCTTATCTTGAAGAAATAGAGTATCCTGTACTCTGCATTGCGGACCTGCTCTAGTCGCTGGAGACGACAAGTTCCATGGAGCTTGGGCTGAGTCGAACGAGTCCAGCTGCTGTCTTTCTTTGACCGATATGCCTCTTGCATTCCTCGCCTGCAAGGGATGAGACTGGCGCCACCTCTGCGACGGTATTGATTTCACGCCACGCGAGCACAGCGTGAGGGTGCATCCATCCTTTGACGGCTGAGATGGCCGCATCCGGGTGGCTATCCCGACTGGCCATGATGGTCATCCGTCCAACCTGGGCCAGCCCATCGAGCCGATGTAACATTCCCCAGATGCTGGAGAGTTGGCGACACGAGCGGTCTCACTTAGAGCCGATAACAGCTGTCTCCTGATTGTACCGTGGCCAAGAAAGCCATTAAATGAGTGGCACAGGCCCTGCGCCTTCTGATACCGTGTGATCGCCTATTGGATGGGCCTCACAGTGGTTATCAGTTCTACTCGCAGGATCCTCGCTCCTGCCAGTCTTCCAGAAGATTTCGCTGGCCTTGCTCGCAGCGGACAAGCCGATGGGGCAAATGTTGACACACCACCCAACACCACTTGACTGGAAGCTGCGACAAGATTCTTTATCTGCCTGCTCGCCTGCTTCCCGATAGCGAACCATAGCGAGTGGGCTGAGTATGTTTGTCTTATCTGTTGTTCCAATTTGCCCCCTGCACATCATTCATCAAATTGACTTCGGCTTCTCAGAGGCTGCAAGCCGACCTCACTAGGTTCCACGACCTCGACGGACAAGTCTTATATCAATCTTCCGTCGCCCGCCCAATTTTATACGTGGTGTTTTTCTTCGCGTCTTCTTCCCCTTCACCCTATCTTTTTGCGCGTACACCCACCCTTCTCCATCGAGGTCATTCACGATGGACGACCACAGCAATGCACCTGCATACGAGACATCCAGTTCCAAGGAGAAGCATCTCGAGCCCACTGGCGACTGGGCCTCTCCTGACGTCGACCATGGCGCCGAAACCGATCTGCACCGCTCGTTGTCGACGCGGCACCTGACCATGATTGCGCTTGGCTCCTCCATCGGAATGGGATTATGGCTTGGAAGTGGAACTTCTCTAAGCAATGCTGGCCCAGCAGCGCTTCTGATTGGCTATCTCCTCAGCTGTACGATGATTTGGGCCGTCAGTCATTCGATTGGAGAGATGGCAGTCATGTATCCATTGCCGTCGGCGTTCACGCAGTGGACGTCGATCTTCATTGACCGGTCAATGGCCTTTTCCCTTGGCTGGGCATACTGGTTCTCTTACTGGATCACAATCGCCAACGAGCTGCAGGTGTGTTGCTCTTGCTGTGTTGAATACACTGCCCACTGATCATTGAATGTACAGGGCGTTGTTACCGTGCTTAGCTTCTGGACGACCAAAGTACCTACAGCGGCCTGGATCACTATTTTCTGGATTGTAATTATCGCCGTCAACGTTGTTGCCGTGAGATTCTTCGGGGAGGTCGAAGTTACAGCCTCTACTATCAAGTTTGGCTGGATCTTTGTGGTGATTATCTCGTGCATCGGTAAGTGGTTCAAATTCCTCTGTGGCACAGTACAGTATCCTGTTCCGGGGCTCACTTCTTTAGTCATTTCGGCTGGTGGCGCTCCTGCTGAGGGTCCGATCGGGTTCCGGTACTGGAACTCCTCGCCGTTCATCAACGGTTTCAAAGGATTCTTGTCCATTATGCCTACGTGTATCTTTGCAATGAGGTACTTACCCTACTATCTGGCTATACTTCAGGATAGCAAGGATTGGTCTTGAAGTTTGCCCAGACTCCTATATCTATACCTAGCTGACCCTTCCCTTAACACTTAGTGGTTCAGAAAACGCTGCTTTGGTCGCTGCTGAGACTGATAATCCACGCAAGGCTGTCCCCCGAGCTGTCGGGTCCATCTGGGTCCGCTTGTCTCTGTTCTACGTTCTGGGCTCCTTGATGATCACCATCACCGTCTCTCCGTACAACAAGGACCTCTTCGGTGGGGACGGCGTCAATGCTTCACCCTTTGTTATAGCCTTCCGCAACGCTGGACTGGAACCTCTAGCTCATATCATGAACGCGGTGATCTTCATATCAGTTTTGTCGACCGGCAGTATCTCGGCCTATGGTGGCTCGCGTACTTTGATGGGCTTGACACACCTGAATATGGCTCCCAAGGTTAGTGCCTCTCATTCCTTTCCTCCTACTTTGCAGCGCTAGCGACTAATATGATCATCTGCTCCGCCCCGTCAGATCTTCGGCAAGGCCGACAAGCAAGGCCGCCCGATTGCAGGAATGGCCATAACCCTCCTCATTGGAGGCGGTCTCGCTTACCTCAACGTCTCTAACTCTGGCGCCAACGTCTTCACCTGGTTCTCAAACCTGACTTCCCTCTTCACCCTGTTTGGCTGGGGCACGATATGTCTGTCGCACCTCCGCATGCGCTACGCCTGGAAGGTCCAGGGTCGATCGGTAGAGGATCTCCCCTGGAAGTCGTGGACATACCCCTACGGCGCCATCTGGGGTCTTGTTTGGTGCATCATCCTCATCATCGCGGAATTCTACCTGAGTGTATGGCCTCTCGGAGAAAGCCCCAGCGCGAAGAACTTCTTCGCCAACTACGTCTCTGTCGTGGCTATCGTGGTCCTGTACCTGGCGGCGCGATGCTACTACCGCGGGCCGTGGTGGGTGGATGCTCGCACGATTGACCTCGACGCCCCGAGACGGTTCTACGTGGATGGGCACGATGTCGAGACCAAGACAGAGCGGAAGGGGCCGACGAAGTATCTTCGTAAGGCAGTGGATGCCGTGTTTGATTAAAGAGGTAGGTGTTTGTACATAATATACATTATCATAGTTGATCCGTGGAGTTATATCAACTTGCACTTCGAGTATTAGAACTTGTGTTGTTCATAGAGTTAGCGTACTTTCTGGCATGAGAGGGCTTTTGCAGCAGCAGTATAAGGTTTGTGAAAGTCGAACTACTATCACTTTGTTAAAATCTTGCCAGAATTAAATTTAACGATATAAATGCTGTTTGTATTCTATCCCACCCTTTCCCTATCAGTGCAGCTTACTTCTGCCATTTTATGCTCTGTATCAACTTGGAAGATAGGGGTTTACCTATGGAGAAATGTCGTGCATGCTCTCAGTAGGGCGCCCACTTTAGGAGACCAGCAGGGCGGGCCCGCATCTGCCCCTTCCCGATCCATACACTCCCTGCATCTCAAACTCATACATTTCTCTTTCTATTCATAGTCTTAGTAGATGCTTGCGACCGAGCGAGCGCTTCAGGATCTTGTCTGCCAAATGTATCGGGGCTTAAGGCGCCCGCAAAGTAGAAGATTCATACCACTCTTCTCAGTCCCAATGCAGGTCTTGGAAGCTTCCTCTTCTCGTCGAAGCGATCGCCTCGATACTAATTCTGTGTATAAATCTAGTCCCTTACAATCGCGGGTCAGCCGATGTCTGATCAAGCCCTACATTTAGCCGGTAAGTCGTACTTCAGGTCCTCATTTTCGGATTTTTCTCCTCACAAGTTTCGTTCACATCAGCAGGAGGATGTTGATGCTCAGGCTTGGAGGCAGAATTGCTGCACCAACATCGATTATCTCCATATGGAAAGTATCTCCACGAAGGAGGTAATTGTTTTATTTCACAACAATGATGGGTAAACTTCCACGATATTCAGCTTGCAGCCATGCCTGGGTTTGCGTTACACGAGTGTTGTGGGGGAATGATAAAGACAATCACCTCATGGCCACATTGTCTGGCCATAGTCATCAATAAAATGGAACATCTACCTACATGAGTGGTCTCGAACGTATATCTTTACCTATGATGGGTCATAATCTCTCTGCGCTTCACATCTAATAGAGTTTCCACTGATTAAAGCTTGGCGGTCAGGAATCTGGGCCTAACCGGAGTCAGGCTCCAGTTACAGATTAAGCAAACAGGATCACCCTCCAGGCTCTTACGAGACGGAGATATAGAAGAGAGGAAGTATTCCCTACCGTGTCCATTCTAGATGCGGAGTAATTGCCGCATAGCCCGCGGAGATTGTATGTTGGGACTAATTTGATCCAGGGGGCATTGATTCAGCATAAGCAAGACAGAATGGTCAGGGGATCGGTTTGCACCGTGACCATAATAAGAATCAAATATAGTGATATACTCAGGGTCTCAGGCTATTCTGCCATTCGGCTGGATGAATTATTTGCGAATTGTTGAGAAGTACGGCAAAACCAAGCTTTCGGCAAGCGGCAGTGTATGCCGAACCACTTCCGCTGATGCTCTCCATACCTTTCTCCAACTCGCATACCTACGATGAACAACACCGCACACATGGACCATGTTTATTCCTACACTCGGGGCCGATCAGCTGAGCTGTCCTCTCTCTTGTTCTTCTGTAGCTTTTGCACTCCTTCACATTCCCCCCAAAACAGCAGTGATCCACGGCTCAGGGGCTTGGCTTGAAACCGGGGTGGAGCAAACGTGTCGGATTGAAACTAGAGGCCTTGCTCAGACCACTTCTTCTCCACAAGGAACCAGCACCCTACTGCTGTTGCTGTATTCTCCCGGTAGGGCGGACTCCGTCTTTGTCCTGAAACATCCTCTGACTCCCTCCTGTACTGTTTTTAGTGCGGGACGTTGTGAACTCGAAACACATTCATCCCACGTACGGCCATGTAGAGCCGTTCACGGACTAATCTCCGTGGTGGATGTGGCCCCTTTCATTCTAGGACTCCTACAGCTGTCGAGCGACATCATTCTATAAGGCCTGTTGTCAGTCGCTTGTTTTAATCGCTCAGTACCCTCGTGCAACCCTGCCAGCCACCACCTCAAATCATCCTACTCACCTCTCGTCACAATGCTTCGTCTCGAAACCCTCGCTGCCCTCGCCGTCCTCGGCCTGGCCAACGCTCAGTCTACCGTTGGCTTCGGCCCCTACTTCAGCCTGGGTCCTACTCAGAGCTGGATCCGCGAGGCCACGACCACTCTTGTGCTCCCCGAAGTTCCCAGCCCCGTCGCAGACCGTCTCGCCCTGTGGCCCGGCATGGGCACCAGCGGCGGTGATCTGATCCAGGCGCTTGCTGTTTCTTTCTCCGACCCCAATGCGTACGTCATAGAGACCGGTTAATCCTGGCCAAACCATTGGACTCAATACTGACGGCATCTAGCAACTGCGGCGGTACCTCCGGCCAGTGGTGCATCTGGGCCAGCACCCTCGAGGGTAAGTCTTCCCGAGGTTATGATCGAAAGGGCTCTAACAATGAGCAGACACGCAGCTTGGTGGCACCCAAGTTCCGGCCAATGCCGGTGACAAGGTGACCATGGCATGTACGTTCACCTCTCCGTTCCCTACACGATAGCTATTGACAATTCTCAGACAAGTACAACGATTCCACCTCCAAGTACGATCAGACCGTCTCTCTTAACGGCAAGGTCGTCTCGACTCTATCGACCAGTACGTTCCTCAACCGTTTCTCCCCAGTTGCCAACGCTAACACTTCACAGGCTCCGGTCAAGCTCAAGGCTGGGGCACGGCCGTCGAATGCCAGGACGACGCCTGCAAGAGCACTGCTCGTGCTCACCGTGAGCTCCCCTGCCCTTTACTCCCGACCTTCCCGGAAGACATCTAACAATGAGAACAGAGTACATCGACACCACGATTGTCCTGAACGCCGCGGACAGCACCTTCGCCGGCACCCTGGCCACCAACGAGGTCACCTCCACCGGCCTTAAGACCTCCGACTCCAAGACCTTCACCGTCGAGACGATCAACGTCCAGGCCCACACCTATGATATCTAAATGGAGCCATGAGATGGGGTTGTATTTTTAGTATATGCTGGCGTGACTATGTCGAATAACAATTGAGCTCTACGAGCGGTTGCGGAATATGTGTAATTTATATATTATGCGACAATGTAGAGAACTGTGGAAGTTAGAAAAAGACTGGAGTAGCGACTTTATAGAAGCATGGAGAGTGACTGTCGAGCTCTCGGCCGATTGATTGGCGTCCCCGAACTGTGATCATCTGGCTGTTGGCCCCTAGACCTATTCCAGGCCCGATACAATCAGAGACTGCAGACAAGCGCACCTGCTGCCGAATTATCTGGCGCCCAGAGTTGTCCCTGGCGTAATCAGTCGATTTCGAGAGTGGGCGAGATGGGTATGTTATGAGAGAGCTGGAAGCTCGAAGAAGTTGCCAATTGAAAGATACAAGTTCAACCCGCTTGTGCATACTGCCCTTGAGCTCACTGAGCATCATCCCAATTTGTATCTACTATCTTGTGCATTTCATCCTTGCAGAGGGCTCCTTGCTTCAAGTGAAAGCTATCTTGATGAGTGTTCTAGGAATAACGTTCCTCGCGTGCTACACAGTAGAGGGCCAGTGGATGAGAGATAATCCAGCGGCCCTGATCTCAACTCAAGGGAGGATGTCAGAAGAAGCGACACCTGCAATTCGAAGAGGCTCATTTTCGGCCAGCCGATCATATTGCCGCCGAGTTGAGCGCTTACTCCATCAAAGGCGGACGCGCTGCGAATGGGAGATTGACCGAATCGATTGATGGATCATGTGAAAGCGTCATTGTGATGGGTTCCACATAGAACAAGGCTCACCCATGTCATTGTCAGGACCGACACTTTGTGCGACCGCGGCTGCTACAGTACGAATATATACTAGTAGGCGGATGTGACACTGTGACAATGACGTGCATGAAGTGCTCGGAGTGTTGGTCCGTGCCAAAAGGGCGATTGGATCTCTGGGTCTGGTTAGATTTCGATTTCGGAGTCATAACCAAAGTCGGGAGCGTGCTCATCAATGGCGGCAGGGCAAAAGGTGTGCTGCTGCATTGGATGTCATCATTGAGGATCCACACCCATTATGAGCTGCTACTGTTGTGAGGCGACGAGCTAATCTCAATCCAGAAAGTCCGCAAATGCCCGATCGGGAGGTCACGGGGCTTATCTTATCGCTTATCAGCTGACCATTCCCCAGCTTGTTTGTCCCCAACCTCCTCGGCTCCCTGTCTCTTCCTCTTCCACTTCAGTCACTCACTCTCTGTCCAATCGACCTGACTCCTACATTCAACATTGATTTGAGCTTCACCATGAAGCTCTATCTTCTCCCCGCCCTTCTTGGGCCGGCCGGAGCTCTTCAATTGCCCCTGTTCCAAGCTTCTTCATCGCAGTCCGAGCTCTCGACATCGAGCAAGCAGCTCATCGACTCTGAGCTGCTGCAGAAAGAAGTCAAAGCCGAGAACCTCCTCAAAAGAGCCGAGGAGCTCTACGAGATTGCAAAGCTCAGCGAGGAGGAATATCAGCACCCGACCCGTGTCATTGGCAGCAAAGGTGCGCACCTCACTCATCTCCGCTGCGCTGTGACTCACCTACTAACCTTCAATCTGCTAGGTCACCTCGGAACCTTAGATTACATCTACTCCACCCTTGTCGAGCTCGGCGACTACTACACCATCACCAATCAATCCTTTCCTGCGGTGACCGGAAATGTCTTCGAGTCGCGCCTCGTCCTCGGCCACACGGTGCCCTCCTCAGCTACCCCGATGGGGCTGACGCCTCCCACAAAAGACAGAGAGCCTGTCTACGGTCCATTGGTGGCAGTGGCCAATCATGGATGCGAGTCATCCGACTACCCTGACAATCTTTCTGGTGCCATTGCATTCATTTCTCGGGGCACCTGTCCGTTCGGAACCAAGTCCGACCTGGCTGGCAAAGCAGGCGCCATCGCGGCAGTGGTGTACAATAACGAGAAAGGCGACCTCTCTGGAACTCTGGGCACTCCCACCCCAGATCATGTTGCCACTTTCGGCATCTCAGACAGTGATGCGGCACCTGTCCTGGAGCAGTTGAAGAAAGGCGAGAAGGTGGATGGCATTGCCTACGTTGACGGTATTGTGCAGACAATCATCACTACAAACATTATCGCACAGACTGTCGAAGGAGACCCGAATAATATAGTTATGGCCGGTGCACACAGCGACAGTGTAGCCGAAGGTCCCGGTATCAACGACGACGGCTCTGGTACTCTGACTCTCTTGGAATTGGCAACAAAGCTCACCCACTTCAGTGTCAACAACTGCGTGCGCCTTGCTTGGTGGGCTGGAGAAGAAGAAGGCCTCCTTGGTAGTGATTACTATGTGAGCCAGCTGACCCCGGAGGAGAACCGCAAAATACGCCAGTTTCAAGATTATGATATGCTGGCAGGGCCAAATTTCGCGTACCAGGTCTACAACGCCACTAACGCCGTCAATCCGGTGGGCTCGGAGGAGCTGCGCAACCTGTACGTTGATTTCTACGAGGCCCACGACCTCAACTACACCTACATCCCCTTCGACGGCCGCAGCGACTACGACGCCTTTATTCGCAATGGCATTCCCGGAGGCGGTGTCGCCACCGGCGCAGAAGGTGTTAAGACCAAGGAAGAGGAAGAGATGTTTGGTGGTAAAGCCGGAGAGTGGTACGATCCTAATTACCATCAGATTGGAGACGACGTCTCGAACGTTAACCTTACAGCTTGGGAGGTTAACACCAAGGTACGTGTTCTTCCGCGATTGGCAGTGCCGTACTATGACTGACACACTTTAGCTCGTGGGGCATTCTATTGCCACATACGCGCTGTCGTTCGAGGGCTTCCCTGAGCGCACCGATGCTGATGTCGGCACTTTCTCCCACGAGCCGCGGAAGTACCGCGGCCACCGCCTGCAAATGTAATCGATGATAGACTACAGATCTCTTTATCATTTTTGGCTAGATAGAGTCTTGTATGATGCTTTCTTTTGAGTTATTCTTGGTTAGATGAATAAACATTTTTGGAACAATCTATTTTTGGGACCGACAAGCTTTGTTTTGTTGACTTTAACTTTAGATACAGTTGCGAGGCGGCGCGCGTTAGAACACCCATCTCTTGACCTCCAGATTTCTATGCTTCCAATCTAAAAGACACTTGATAGAAAGTTACCAAGCAGCCCACAGTGGCAAACCAGGCCAGAGATCCGTTTCCACCCCAGCCATCTCCCCGACATCAAACAACCCAAACTCTTCGACATCCCGCGTCAGGAAATCCTGCATGAGCGGCTGATCCAGCACCATGTAAGCGGACTCTACCGCTGCGCCTCCAGCATCGAAATGACCCGTGCTCGAGAGATTATCAGCCTGTCCCTTGGACCAAAGCACTGCCGGAAATGGAGATTGTGCCGAAGGGGAGGCGACGGACAGCGACAACCCCTGCTGCTTCGCCACCCTCGATGCAAACCGTCCGCTCCGCAAACAGTACTGCGCCCGCACAAGATGGTGGAACAAGTCATCTGCGACGAGGCTACCGTTCGCGACCAAGGATTTCAGCATCTCAATGACGGTCTCCACGGACGTGAGGTCCTCCGCTGTGCCACCTGGTAGCAGGCTTGCGATGAGCAGAATCAGGGCGGCAGTAAAGATGTACTGCGCGAAGGCGTAGCCGTAGGTCGAGGAGGCGCCGTTCGTCCATTCGTTCGTGCAGAGGGTTAAAGTGTGGCGGGCGGAATGGATGCATGCGTCTTTGAGAGCGGCGAGGGTTGCAGGGAAAGCGGGCTCGTCAGGGGTGAGGTTTGGCGAGAGGTGGTCGAGGAGAGTGAGGAGGATTGGTCGGATGGCCAGGATGACGCACTGTGTTGAATGGGTCAGCTTTCGGTCGGAACGGGAGATGGGGAGGAACAGGTGCCTACGTAGTTGAATTGGAGATGGACGAGAATGTTGCATTTGGGATTGTGCCTGGTGGTATGGAGGTGGAGGTGGTCGGGTAGTAATTGCGTCCACTCCTGCAGGTCAAGGAGGATCCTTTGCTCCCGCTGCAGGAACGTCTCGGTGAAGTTGCTGCGGCTGTAGATCGTGCGCATGATTGTGCTGGATATTCTGGCGAGTCTGACGAATGCCACTTCGTATGAGCTGTCCACGAGCTCGTTGTGGTAATTCTCGGAGTCGAGATTCGTGGGCAGGTCAACGTGGATGACTTCATCGTTGATCTGCACTGGCAGGCCTAGCTTCAGGCCCCAGGACCGATCGAAGATGTAGATTGTCCACCACAAACGCACACGATGTTCTCGCGCAATCCGATCGGGGCATTGGGTGTCCGGGATGTTGTGGTTCAGACCGACGAGGAGTGCGAAGCGCAGGGCGTTGCCGACCATGAGGTAGGCGGAGTGCTGTCGGTTAAGGGACTGGCTATAGAGGGCCTGGAGGAGTCAGCACATAATGACAGAATACCCACGGAGACGAGGTTACCAAGATCAGAAAAGCCTCGATGTGAATGATGGTAGGTCGCTCCGGTAGCACGGGAATCAGACCGATGGCGCGAGCATAGTACGCCATCCCTGGCACTGTGCCCTTTTCTCCTCCACCATTGCGGAATGAGTAGACTTCTCCCAAGGCAAAAAGAGCAAAGTACTTGCACAGAAAGATCGCATCATTGAAGAGACCTTGCTCGTAGATGTACTGGAGGTGGTCGAGGGTGGATTTACGCAGGGCGAGATGAAAGGGTGGGTTTGCGTGGCCCAGCGCGGTGTTGACCAGCAACCGAGCACGGGCCAAACTGGGCCATTGGATCCCAGAATAGGCCACTTGGGCGAGGGTTGACTCTTCCACATATCGCGTGCGGGGAATATGCGGCACTGCGCTTTTGTTGCCGTCGAGGCATTGGCACAGACGCGTGGCAAAGCCCGTACATGCTGCCTCGCTAACATAAATGGGAAGTGCCAATCCTTCGTGAGTCTGGAACCACGGCCGGTCTTCAAGCAACGGATTCCGAGTCCTCGTGTCGCTTCTTTCCGTTGCAGAAAAAGGGTGCTGCTCTTTGGTGGGAAGGACATGGCTTTGCGACCTCAGTCTGTGCTTACGCAGCTCTTCACTGTCTCGAATCAACTGTTCCAGATAGCTGGCGGCAGGTCAGCGCGGGACGGTTGCTGCATCGGTAGCCGCTGCTTACCTTTCGTCGATGCGCACTTTGCGGTCGCGGACGACATAACTGCATTCGTTCCCACATCCCGCCATGTGGCACCGCGAGCAGGGTCTTCCCCCCGAGCATTTGACTTTTTGAGCATGGCATCTCTGGCAACTGGTTCCTTCGTGTGGTTAGAGCGTGGAATTGAAGGTGGAGATTGGGACTCACGCTACAGGTCTTTTGGTTCCTAGGGAGCTCCGCGCTTGCTGCAGTGACCCCTGCGATCTCTGTGCCGAGTTACCGGCCTGCATGACATGATAACGATGCCTGGTAAAAGGTACTGCTCTTCCACACACTCCACCAATGTGCGGAGATTCTTCAAGGGGAAAAGTTTTCGATCGGCCAGATTTACGCCCACCGACGCTGGCTCTTTCCGATTGGTTTTGGAGAGGGAGAGAGAATCCGCTTGTGCTCGGCTTTCTCATATGACTGGCTATGGCACAGTCTGGGTGGGTCTTCCTTTCCAGGCTTGGTCTAGAGTACGGTCAACTTTAAACTGGCCGAAATGCCCCCACGAGGCCTGCAGCAACTGGAGTCACATAAATTCCCATCTATACCTCCTTGACGACCTCACTCCTGCCCTCCCTTTAGATTTTCCAGTCCTGTCCACTTTTCTTCAACCTTGTCCTCGTTGCAAGCATTAATTTGTCCTACACCCATCTATCCACCGAGCGACCAACCACCGCACCCAATGACCTCAACAACCACCAACGCATACACCCTCCGCCACCACCGGCCGGGAGACATGGGCTGGATCGTCCACCGCCACGGCGCGCTCTACGCCCAAGAATACGGCTGGAACGAGCGCTTCGAGGCCCTCGTCGCCGGCGTCACCGTCGACTTCATCGAGAACTACGACCCCGCCCGCGAACGCTGCTGGATCGCCGACGACCGCGATGGCCAATTCCTGGGCTGCGTCATGCTGGTCAATGACCGAAACTCCGATGACAATGCCGCCAAGCTCCGCTTACTGCTCGTGGAACCCAGCGCGCGGGGGCTGGGCCTCGGACGAGCTTTGATTCATCAATGCACGGAGTTTGCGCGCGAGGCCGGGTATGCGCGCATCCGGCTGTGGACGAATAGTGTTCTTGTGTCGGCGCGGCGGCTGTATGAGAAGGAGGGGTATCGGCTCGTCTCGACGGAGGAGGATGAGAAGTTGGGGTTCAAGTCGACGGGGGAATTTTGGGAGTTGGTGCTTTAGGTTTCTTGGGTGGGAAATAGATTGCGTTGGCATTGCGGCATTTAACTATACTTTTTCCTCTACTGCTCTTAGCCATAATTGAAGCGTGATTCTGAGACTGATAGCATAGCTTGCATGGCAATCAGCCGATGGCTTGGTTACATCGCAAACTGGTACATTTGAGTTCTAATGTCGCCGCCGAAGTTGCCCATAGATAGCCTTCGCAGGCTCCTGTGCAGACATAGGCTTTGAAATTCTATCGAAGTGCATGCTCGCTTTAATTGGGGTTTAGTCAATATCATCAATTCTGTGTGCTACCAGAGAGCAAAGCTTTTTCAAGTGCTATGCGTTGCACCTATCTGTCTCGAAGTACTGGTCGATGCATAATACATTACTTAGTATGCTAAGTTCTACTATGTACCTTTCCCCACTGCGCAGTGCCGCGTTCAGACGCAACAAAGACTATTATGCTCATGACAAGAGGATACTCTAAGCACGATCTCTACCAGCGAACTCTAGCCCCCCAGCATATCTCACCGAGTAGGAGGTTGCCCATTAGCCTGTTTCATCAATGCCCTCGATATTGAATAGACGAATCCTATTGTTAGATAGCGAGATATTGAATATTTTTCTATAGGATAGAAGGTTGCTACGTAGCCAAGCTTGACCTACTTGAACTCTGTTCCATTGAATGGTTGAACTTACCGAGACTGTGTATTCATCCAATGTAGATGGCCGGCTCTGGCTGAGCATTATTCACCTGAGCTCTTTAGATTGCTGAATCTTGTAACGATGCCATTCATTTGAATAGAACATCCGGTTGATTCACACCCATACCTTGGCTGTCATTGAATACTGCAGCTCAAGTCTTGGAGCCCTGCCTACCCAGATCCTCTTCCTGTCTCTCTTCCACTTCGTCTTCCTCCCCCAACTCTCCTTCCATCATGGACTTCCTCTCCACTCCCATTCCCATTCCCAGTTCTAATCACTCGTCTGCTTCCAATCCCTCTTTTGATCTTTCCCTCCTATGAAACATACATGAGCATTCTTGGAGATTATCGAAGTCCTTCGTCGTTTGTTTAGTGTACTCCTTGATACATATGAATATGATTCTATCACGGAGTTCACATTTCTTTACCATGAAGCCTTCCAGGATGACCTAACTAGTTATCATAACTTGGTCGGTCTAGCTACCTTGATGGATGTAAGTTCTCTTCCCTTAAGCATCATGCCTCTTTCCCCGCCGGTTCATCCACTCAGCCTTAGCTGCATAGGGTTAGTGCTATGTGATATGCTAACTGCAGTGGTATTAGAGACTACCTACATGAGCGATCAAGCAGACCAAAGCTCCCTCCTATTTAGAAGGGTTCTTGACTTTTACCATTTCTGAGCTTGAAATCTTCCGAAAGCTATTCGTGCGTTCGTCTCTGTTGTGCGTTCATGCTGCCAACCTTGTGGCCGGAATGCCACTCAGACATAGATCGACGGCCTGTCTACATGATGGGTTCAAGTTATCTGCGGAACCCTGATCAGGGTCCACTCATCGACCTGGGCCAGTGGGCCGCGATGACGATGACCGTCGTCAGCCAAAGAACTTGCTGTAAGTAATCCTTTCTCTTGCAAAGATTGAGGCTGGAGGATCATCGTGCGTGGCGCACCTATACCCACAGGAAGCTATGCTAACTGTATTGCTGAGTTTAGAATGTTATGAATTAAGCGGATTGCCGAAGGGAGGAGAAGGAGGCGATGGAGCATAATGAGCAAATAGCGATATTCTTCGATCTTGAAGACGGTGACACCAACCACCTTTCGGTCTAGGACAAGCACTCTGCTGTCCACTGGGTCATTGGCCCCGAAATTGAATTTGAATCTATCATCGAGAGCAATAATCTCCTATCTTTGGGGAATGCGCTTGAAGAAATGCTATTGATCGCCATGTCGCGCAATAGCGGCGGTTACGAACGGCCGCTATCACCACCACCACTACTCACGTGTCCGCAAGTCATTCTTTCCAATCACATTTGACTGGGGACTAATGTTGAATGTGTTTAATACAGGTCGACAATGATCACGAACTGCTTTGCAAAGGCCGCAGCCACGGGGGGTAACCAGTCCCAGGACGGGACTGGCCCCGTGGTGGACAGCTTGCTTGGAGCACGGACTTCGGTCCTCCCAACAGGCCATAGAGATATGGATATGGGGCTCCTAGTCATCGGAGATGTACAAGACTCGCCAGCCACCCCCAAAACACCGAACAAAAGTGATGATAAGGTGACCTCAGGGAACGGGTCGACCACAAATCCACTGAATCGACGCCCACCCCCCCATTGTCGGGTCAATAAGCGTACCAATAAGGCAAAGCCTACCAAGGGAAAGACCCAGCAAGTGGAGAAAGGTCTCCAACAGATTGATAAGATGTTTCAGATTGAGACACGCGCTCCACCCGCTGCTCAGCCTCGTGCTGTCCTGACTGACCGCAACGAGGTAATCAACCAAGCTGTTGGGAGATCGGCAGGTATATGCGAGAGACCCCAAGTCAGCCCTACGCGAGACCATGATAAAAGCGAACCAATACATGTGCCGTATGATTCTTTCTACCCTGAAGACCAGGAAAATTGGGAGTGGGGGGTCATGATCCCCAGCAACCTTGAAGCCACGTCTGCGATCCAAATACGCTGGATTGTTGCGTCCTGATTAGATGAAGCGAGATGTCCATGAGGCACAGGTGAGTAAGTCAATCGTTAAAGATGTGGCGAATGACGAAGAAGAGCTTTTCGACTGGTCCTCTTCACCACCAATGCCTGGAAGGCGAGAGGCAGAGGAGGGACTGGAGGAAGAGAATATTGGAAGTGAGCCGCTGGACACGGATGAGTTTCCCCAACGTCGTCCCAATGGATCCCATAAGAAATATGTCTATCGAGTGCTTAACCTAGAACTGGATGATGTCGAGGCACGACAGATCATATTTAGATACCGACTCGAGGGAGGGCATTAATAGACATATCTGGACTCTAGCACGCCAAAACCCAGAAGAAAATGTGGTCTACCTTAGCTGACACATCGGAAGAGAAGATCGACGAAGTGATCAATAAGATTGAACGGGCAATCATTCCAGTGGTACGGACAATATTTGGTGGTACAGAACTAACTCGAAATGAAGTGCTTCTTCTGCCAATTGTCATGACGAAGGATTAGCTCAAAGGAGTTTATCTGGACCTTGTCACGAATACCCAGGTTCAGGAAGACAATGGCCTTTACATTGGGTCTGCAGTGTCGGTTCCGAAGAAGCGAGTGGATAGAAAAGAGCACACGCACACGCGGCCAGGGGTGGTCGTCACACCGAGGTTTGGTTCGAGCTGAAAAGAAGAAAGCTAAGCATTATATGTATATTCGTGCGAGACCTGACCGACAACCAAACTCTCGGCTAGTGGCCCAGTTTCCAAAATCCGTGGATCCGGAAATAAGCGTCGAGGATGCGAATTGGATGATAATTTTACTCGAGAACACCACGATTGTGATGGCGGAAAGTTTTGAACCTCCCTATGTTTACTTCAGTGATTTCCATGGCTCTAGCATTGAGAAGTTTGTTGCTGACCTAGGGGAACTTGCCATCTCAAGTGCCTTTGAGCCTCTTAATAGGGCATTACCTATCTCCCAGCCTCTACGCGGACGCCGTCGGGCAACGCATTGTGCAAACTGTCTGCGACCGCTAGATGTGTGGAACATCTTGCCGCACCCACTACCAGGGCATATATTCGAAAAGATATGCAGCAGCTGTGACTATCGATACAAGAAGACTGGGTGCCTTACTCCCCCAGATTTCCGGGAGCAAGAAGCGAAGGCAAAACGCATTGACAAGGAAGCGAGGTCCAAATGTATCAATGATGGACACGAAATTACCAAGAGGTCCTTCACAGCACACCTTCAAGAGGGTCACGAAGGTGAGTATATTTGCCTAGGATGCATGGGTCGATATAATCGAGATAATGAAGTGCCTCCACCGAATTGGCGGACCGACGGATCATTTGGAATGCCCAAGGTCAAGCCCAAGGTCGACAGACGTTGTTCCAAATGTGGCAAGGCAATCCTGGAGAGTGTTCAGATCTACTGGAACCCACTCGAGCCAGATGAGAAGTCCGAGATGTGGTGCAGAAGCTGTTACCAGTATTGGTATAATCACAGCTCGGGTAAAATGGTTGCTCAACAGAAAAAAGCGAAAGTCAGTCAAATGAAGCAAAAGACGACCGCGTGTGTGCATTGCGGTTGGGATCCGGCACATCCCGACTCAAACAAGAGTGCAACGAATGGCCTACAATACAACACGATATTTGGAATTGTTCTCCGTCGCCTATTAGCCCTAATCAAACATCCAGCACTAGAGACAGTGTTCAATACGCAAAGCTATACAACCTAGAATCAGACAAACAGATTCAGTCTGGCGATATTCTCACTTTGCAAACGACCAACCCGGTGAATCTTCCTTTGCCATTAATGATATTATTTCGACTTCAGTGGATTCTTCGTCGAATATTGGCGATGAGTGGCACGGCCGACGCGTTGGAAAAAGATCTGAACCCCGGTTTGCACAGGCCGGCAGATGCAGGATTATACTGGCGAAACAAAAGCATCGTGTACTGCCTAGAATCTGGAGGCAGGTTAAGGATTTGCCCGATTTCGAATGTGAAGGATGCAAGGTAACCCGCCCCGAGAGGTGGACACTCACTGTCCAGATGGAGTGGCAAGACTATCCTGTCTCAAATGTCGCAAAGGTCTGTATGATGGTGCCAGGAAGACTATGAACGATGCCGGCCGGTCTCGGGCCTTATGCCTCAGGCCGCTCACCGCCCGCCACGCACGTTAATGGCTCCTCTCAGATAGTCTCATGTAGTCTGAATTCATCCATCATTCGCGTCCTTGACAGAAAATACAAACGGGGTAATAACATCTTCCAAGCAATTCAGTCGATGCAAGCATTTCATCAGTGCTTGAAGAGAGTCGCTAACATTGACAACAGTCTGCAGGCAATCAGAGCACGAAATGCAAAGATCGAGGGTGAACGTAGTGAAGGCTTTGGGGCGAGGAAAGACCCGGGCTTAATGCGACGAATGCTATTGGGAAGACGGGAAGAGACGAGAGATTATCAAGGTAAGGCTTCCTTGCACTCATGACAAGATGACGTGCAACACTAATCCAAAGTTTGTCACCAGTCTGATCTTCCAGGCTCGCTTTCTGGACAGGCAGGGTTCTGACTGTAATCTCCGGCATCGAATATTGTCCAAAGATACGAAGCAAACGACAAAGGGGATCATGAAGGCGAGTTACCGTTCACTTGCGGATAACGCGTTGCTAATTATCCATCGACCATAGTGCTCCGGGCTCAGTGTGCTCTTCGTGAAACGAAACCACCGGGCGAATTTCGATTAATAAACCTCGCGGATCGCTTAGACTACGATACACTAAAGTTATGCGTGTGCAGTGGAGCTTGTACAGGCGACATTTTGAGGTCTTGCAAATCGCTGCCGCCAGTGCGTTCTGTTCCGCAATCTCCGTGCCAACTTCGGTGGCGGTTGGGTATATTTCAATTTCCTTGAGCATTTCTTGTTGTGAGCTAAGGCTAATCGAAGCTGCCTGCGCTATTGGGACCATGTATTGGGCAACCAAAGCGAGATTATGTGATGCGATCTTTAAGCGCTTCTCTTCGAGCTTAAGCCCATCGAGTCCATCATCGGTGCCCAACGTCCTAATCTCATGCCTCCATCGATGCCGGTTCAGAGGATGATAATGTACAATCATGGATCGTCGATCAGAACGCACACTCCGTGAAGAAAGTCACCAACTCGGTGGTGTAAATGGTGGAATACAGAGTCTCGACCTCGTCCGGCGCACTGGATGGTGCGGGTGCAGCGCTGGTCATAGGGGAGACGGTGGCGGAGGGTCCGGTGCTGACAATGGATGACGAGATCGCCAAAGGACTTCCGGATGACTGTGGAAGGGCGGCGGGAGCTGAGGAGCTCGAACGCGCTGATGTGGGCGGGAACAGAACCGGAGCACTCGACGCAGAGGGTGTGAGATGCACCGACGTCGATGGGGTAGGCGTTCGGGTGTCACCCAGAGTCAAAGTGGGAGTGGGAGTGGGAGTGAGGGTGGAGACGATCAAAGATGTATACTCGGAAGTCGAGGTGCGAGTCAAAGTCTCCGGAACATACGAGGTCACTCGCGAGGTACAGGGGTCGAAAAAAAAGAGCTCGACGGCCAAAACACTGCTCGAGGCTGGCACCAATTCCAGTGACCCGGCAAGGATCCGGCAGGTTTCGCTGTCATCCCAGTTGACGCCCGCGCAGTTGCTGTAGTGGGTGCACGCATCGGTGCACGCGTCCACGCTGACCCAGGAGTAGGTCATCTTGGTCGTACTGGCACTGTAGGCGGAGGTAGTGCACGTGGCCGACCAGTAGTTTCCTGCATCATACCAGATGGTATTGGCACAACCCGTGGGAGCGACAGTACCCCAGGTGCAAGTGCTGGTGATGGAGACACTCGGGATGGAGGTGGTGATAGTCGTTACCGCGGTGCTGGTATAGCTCGATGTGAGGGTGACTACCGATGGACTGGCTGCAATCACCTGCAGTGCAGCGAGGAGAACCAAGGTCGAGCTCAAGAGTCGGACCATCTTGCGAAGAGACAATTGTCAGTGGGATGAAGAGATCTGATTATCTTCAATTCCTTGCCAGAGGGGGAACTCAGGAGATCAAATAGTTCAAGCGAGCCAGTGTGGACCCTTTATTCTTTCTATCGACACTCCTCCTCGTTGACCAGTAAGGATGGCTCATTTCAGTCAACCGTCGGCTGGATTGACCGGAATTGCGCTGGCAATGAAGCCGCACCCGCAAATAGCTTCCATCTAGTCGGTTCTAGTCAGGAGAGCTGGGAGAAAAGAGAGAAACTAGCCGAGATTTGTGAAGCAATGCTTTTCCCAGGTTTTGCCAAGGTTCCAAGCACCGGTGGCAGCCATTGCAGCAGTAAGTTGGGCCCGACCGGCCATCCGTGAGTTATTTGTGATTGTGGATTGCGGTCCGGGTGCTACGAGGCTGGAGATACAATACAATCCCAGGGCGGGGTCTTTCTTCTGTTGTATCGCATTCTCTCATCACGCTTGCACCATATGTTAATTATCGCTTCCAAGTTGCCACGATGTCTGGCCACGTGATGCCATGGCCATTCGAATACCTTCCACCAATCCGGGAAGTTCTCCCCATCAACAACTACTAGATCATCAATTCGATTTCAAAACAACTCGTTCTATCTGGTAGATAAACCCCGCGGTATGTACAGAGGTTCTCGGTTTCAAGATTCACGCACGATAAAGGCCTGTCCAGTCACCGATATACCATGGTCTGCCTGTCCTACTTTGCTAACCATTGCGATGCTAAATACACAGATCGAATCGACTACATGGTCTTCACACACTACGCGACCGCAACGAAGAAGTTTGTCTCGCCCTCTTTCGCCTCAACCTGGCTCTTCTTCACCAAGTCATCACCCACCAACAATCGCAGCTTCTCCGCTGTGGCCGGGCTATCGAGCGCCAATGCTGCCTGCACGCCATTCTGCTCACGAGCACTACGCAAGGCATCGCGGAGCGCAAACAATACGGTCGATCCCAAGAATAGAGGCGGTTCTCCAATGCCCTTGCTTGACTGAATCGACCGCAGGTGGGACCACGACACACCCTGCAAGAAACTCACATTGAACTCCTGCGGGATGTCACTGAAGCCAGGGATCTTGTACGTCCCGGGGCCTCGCGTCGCCAGCTGCCCACTGCGGCTCCACAAACTCTCTTCCATAGTGAAGAGACCTTGACCCTGCACGAACGCCCCCTCGATTTGTCCATAGTCGATGGCCGGGTTGATCGAGCGTCCAACATCCATCTTGATGTCCGTCCGCAGCACCGTGTGATCGCCAGTCAGCAGATCCAATTCGACACATGTGCATGCTACACCCTGCGTGAAATAGTAGTACATTGGCTTCACAGTCGCAACATCGTAATTTCCCCACTGATACCCGATTTTAGGCATCTTCCAGAATCCGCTGGCCGCTAAGTTAACTCGGTCGCGATACGCTGCGTGCGCCATCTGCGCCATCGTCGCGTCAGGACCGAGTCGCTCTCGGTACGGCTTCAGCCTTTCGTTCAACTGGTCGCAGGCATCTTGGATTGCCATTCCATTCAGATCGCTGCCAGAGGATGCGGCTGTCGGTGAGGCATTGACTGTCTGGTAAGACGAGGTGTCTTGCGTAAATACACTCTCGAATGGGACCCCCAGCGCCTGCGCCGCGACTTGGGCCATCTTCGTGTACAGCCCTTGACCCATTTCTGTTCCACCGTGGTTGAGCAGTACTGATCCATCTGTATAGATCTTTACCGATGCAGCAGCTTGATTCAGATGCAAGGCTGTGGCGAACGATATACCGAACTTGCTAGGGATCAAGCAGATACCCCGTTTGCGCCAGCGATGTGTGGCATTGAACCTTGCGATTTGCTCTCTTCGCTCGTCATATCTGGCCTCTTTGCGCACCTGTTCTAACAGCATCGGCACATGCCAATCTTCGTCAATCTGCTGTAGGAAGGGCGTCCGCTGCCCGATAGTGTACAGGTTACGTCTCCGCAGCTCATCCACGGGGATCTTTAGCCCCTCAGCAATCGCGTTCATGATCGTCTCGGTGAAGAACATGCTCTGAGGAGCACCAAACCCACGGAAGGCCGTATTGCTATGGGTATTGGTTCGACACACCCATCCCCGGATATGCACATTCGGGATCTCATAGCAGTTGTCCAAATGTGTACAGCAGCGGTCCATCACCGCCCCGCTCATGTCGGTGGACCAGCCTGCATTGTTGTAACAGTCGGCAGATAACGCGATAAGCTTTCCTTCATTGGTGACACCAACCTTCCAGCGACACTGAACCGGATGTCGCTGTCCGGTAGTCATCATGTCCTCATCTCGGGGAAGCATCGCACGCACCGGTCGGCGGGCTTTCTTGGCTGCGATGGCTACCAGACAAGCTAGCTGCACGCTTCGCGATTCTTTGCCTCCAAAAGCGCCACCCATCCGTTTGACTCGTGCGTTGATGCGGTTAGCAGGAACTCCTGTTACTTGACTGACGAAGTCTTGAGTTTCCATACTACAGAAACGTTAGCATGCTCAGCGGACAGTTTGCGCAATGGTGTGGGCTGGAAAACATACGTGTTCTGCGTTGATGACCAGATTTCCATTCCACCATCTTCCGTACTCGGGATCGCCATGGCGGCATTCGTCTCAAGGTAGAAATGCTCCTGTCCGCCTATCCGTGTTACACCCGAAAAGGTGCGGTCGCATCTGCGAAATACTGCGTCCATTTCCGCCGGCGGCGCACCTTTGCGCAGTTCTTTGCCGTGTGGGAAGATACTCTTCGCTGCGATTGCGTCATCGATGGTGAGGATGGCCGGAAGATCTTCATATTCGACCTTTACGGCTTTTGCAGCTGCCTGGGCCTGGATAGCCGTCTCGGCATACACCATCCCAATAGGCTGGCCGTGCGACAGTACCTCATCGATCGCAAAGAAAGGTTCATCGTGCACAACTGATCCCCACAGGTTCTTCTCGATCGGTATGCTCGTATGATCGATGTAGCCGGTCGCTAGTCCTGGCGCAAGAGCAGGTGTCCAGTCAATGGATACAAGTTTGGCATGCGCACGTTGCGAGAGAACCAATGCTCCGAATAGTTGTCGGTGTTGGGGTGGCATATCATCGAGGTATTCTGCCTCGCCGGTGGTGTGTTTAAGCCCGGAGAGGTGAGGGAGTGCTTTCCCCACCACGCGTTGCTCGTGCGGATTGATATCATCCCGGGTACCGTAAGAGATCTTGCGGTGGATCTCGTCTGTCAGATCGGAGGGAATAGGAGCGGCGAGTTGATGCTCTGCAATAACCTCATGCCAGAAACGGAAGAAGAATGAAACAGCCAGTGTCCGGCGGTAAGTTGCCATCCCACCCGGAACGCTGAATACAAGATCAAAGTCCGCGAGAAGCGCATCCACCGTCGCATCAAGAACGGCCTGCGTTCCCCATTTTTTGCCCTTGAGGGTAGCACTAGCTCTGTGGGCAAGCACGGTAGTCGGTGCCATCCCGCCGTACGCGAGAGAAGCATTTTCAACCGTGTTGTCGCTCGCCAAACGGACGCGGAAGGCGGCAGTCACGATGGCGATGTCATCATCTTTTCGCTTGGCTTGCTTGTATGATTTCGTGATCTCGCGACACCCCGAAGACGGCAGCGGAACGCGGATTTCAGTGATTAGGCTGCCCTTTGGCAAAGCGGTCTTGCGATATCCCAGAAACATTTTCTCCATGGCCAGGGCTTGCTCCTCCTCATGGGCGCGCACAACAACTGTGGCGTTCACTGCGAGAAGTAGCGGGTTCATGTCTGAGATGGGAGAGGCCGTCGCAATGTTTCCCGCTAGTGAGGCTGCGTTGCGAATCTGTCGCCCAGCAAAGTACCGGAGCACCTTAGCCATGGCCGATAGTACTGAGCCGGAAGAACCCAGAATAGGAGCAAGGCGCTGGCATTCTTCCTCCACATCAGTGAGAGAAGCATTCCCACCAATTATCAGCTCCTTTGCGCCACTGTCGTGTTCAACCAGGTTGATTTGAGCTAGCTCTTCGATGTCTCCGATAAAGATCGATACGTCGGCCGCAAGGTTTTTGAAGCGAACATCAATCTGAACCTCTGAAGCACCGCCAACCAGCGTGGCAGATGGAAAGCGCGCCAAGAGATCTACAGTCTGCCGAAGGGTGACCGGACGAAGCCATATTCTCCGATCGTCTGCATAATATAGCAACTGAGGGGTAAACTTCGCCAGACCAGGAGGGTAGATCAGCTCCGTCTCTGGCACATACGGAATGAAGTCAAATTGTGGAATTGCTGGAGTTTTCTCCTCTGGCGTGGTCAACGGAGACGAATTGGCCTTATCTGAGCTCGATGAGCATGAGGACGATGAAGGGCTATCGCGACAACATCCGCCAGGTCGCCCGCATGATTGGGCCGGAAGTACTGGCAAATCGACGGTTTCGTCTGTCTTATCCGTGGTAGTGGAAACCACGGACTGCAGGCGCGCCTGGAGGTCCTCACGAACAAATGTCTTGGCCGCCTGAAGAATTGGTTTGTATCCAGTACACCGACACAGATTTCCATCGAGATGGCCTTTCATTTCAATATCATCTTCGGACAGCAGGAAGGTACCGGTCTGCGGGTCGTATGCGTTGCGGATGACAGCATATAGTGACATAACGATGCCGGGGGTACAGAACCCGCACCTGCAATGATTAGATCATAGCCAAACAAATGCGGAAACAGCCTTACTGGGAGCCATGGAGCTTCGCCAGACGCTCTTGCAAAGGATGCGGGTGTTCAACATTTCCTAAACCCTCGACGGTGATAACATGCTTTCCTACCACTGCAGCATTCCACGGAACGGTCAGTACGATCCATGGTTGAAATTCAAGCTGGAGTACGCCTACCTCCGACCAGCGGATACAGACAGGCATTGACTGCCCTATGGACTAGTCGTCGGCTGCGAGGATGTCGTGTCTGCAGCACCACTGTACAGGCACCACAGCCGCCCTCGCCACAGCCCAGCTT